AGTATACATTGTCAGCGACTGGACATGGCGTTTAGCCTCCAATACCATCCGATCCGCTACGGATATTGTTTCACATTAAATACCGCCGTGTTAATTAATCTGAAGTGGATGAGAAACAGTCTACTAATCGTTTGGGTGTGGAGGGTTTAAAGTGAAGCAATTTGGAGGAAAATGCGAATGTAATCAATCACTTGCAAAAATTTTGCGATTGAAAGTGCATTGCCACCACGCCTTTATTTTTCGAAGACATTCATGTTGAATACACACACGCACTGAACACTGATCATGATCATGTCAACATTTCTGTGCAGTAGCATTAGTGAGAAATAACAGCGGAGAAGAAAAGATCAGGCACCTTAAAAATAGAATTAATTTAAAAAGTGAGCAATACTATGGCCGTGTCCGAAACGGGCTTACAGAGCTACGGCTAGGTCTATTGTCTGCGCGTCTCCACGCATTTCCAATGGAGCGAAGACCTAGACCTAGCTCTAGACAAGAGATTCGGATGCAGCCTATGTGTCGGCATTAGGTCGAACAGCGCCACCTAGGTCAGATGTTACCCATACTCTTTCGAAATGTTGACTGTTTCACGACTCTGATATTTCAGCATTATCCTTTACTAGTCACGCTAAAGGTTATGTTGTCTGATTATTGATGAATGCATTCCCATTATCTTTTGAGCTTTTGATCAGTTTCGATCAAAAAGCAGAACTATTTGTCACGTTTGTTCTCTCTTGTAACACGATGTCTCAATTCTTATCTATATTTTCGTATAACTCTGTCGTTGCCAAAGCACATCCTCCGACCAAACTCAAAATGTTACAGCATGGAATCTTCCAGTCGAAAACATGTGTGAATCAGCAGCTCAACGGGGATGACTCATTTTTCAGGGGTGGGGGGGGGGTGGCGGCGTTAGGGGAATCGTGGAGGAGCAGAGACGAGCAGCTCCCCTGCTCGTCGGTGACGTCACGGTAACATGTTGGGGGTTAGGCGGTCACCGGAAGTTGGTGGATCCTACAGGCGTCGTGTGTCTTGGGCAAGGTTGTAGCTTCACGGACGTGATCAGTACCGACTGAGCTGTTCGAAGATGGAACACTGTTCTCGACCCACACAAAACGAAGGTTCTTCGCATGTCCCGATCCAAACAGCTAACAGATTCGGCAAACACGAATCTTGGCTCGTGCAAACTTTAATTTGGGAAGGCTACCAGAAAAGTAACATGCAGTTTTTGTGCACAAAATAAACCTTTGGTGAGATTTTTTTATTCTGAACAATGACTGGCTCGGTGCTTCCGCGAAAACAGTGACTTTCCCGACCGTCTGCCGATCACACGCACGAGTTGTCTACGGTCAACCACAGGGTAATCCGCAAAAGGCAGACCACACGGAGTGTGTAGTTGGCTAACTGTTAAAGTTTCGAAGACACACACCAAAAAAAGGTGGAAAGAAACAATAATAACCTACTCCATATTTTTCACAAGAACAATGGTTTGTTGTAATGGAATTTATTCATTCAGTCTATGGGTGAAACGTGTGGATATTTCTGTATAACTTAAAACATCACTGTTTTATCATTTTCATTCCTCTCAGTCTGAGTTACGAGCCAGAACTTCAGGGATTTTTAAGGATGCCATTTTGCTCAAACCGTCCCGCGTCCATAAAGTATTAGGGGCCAGATTGTTCATGATTACTTCGGGCCTTCCACTTCGCGTCCTCCAGATCATCGTTCGCTGAGCCCTGTGACATCTTAATGGAGTATGAAGATGGTCGGCAGTCTGTTGATCTCCGGGAAATCCTTATTGGTTCTGCGGGGAAGTTGCTGTCTTATCAGGGCACGGGGCGTGGGTCTAAACATCAGACCTTGCGGGGTTTGCAGACTGACTGGAACAAGGGAATAACTTGCAATCCTAAACTTGCACACTCATCCTTGACGTGGCTTATTAGTTATTCGTCCAACGTTGACCGATCGCCACCACGTTTGGAGATATTTCCTCGAGCTTAGGGTTTGTTTTGTTGCTTGAGAGTCCCTTTTTTCGGGGGGGGGGCGCAAAGGGGGCCATACACCCCCTTTTTTTATTAGTAGAAAGCCCATAGTGGGCTGTAAAAACGAAAGTTTTCATGGATACTCTCTGTAGCGTTTCATAGAAACCGTATTCTCCTTTTGTTTCATTCAAAGGCAGCCTTATAACATTATTGAGAATATCTAACTTTGAAGACCTTTTCTTCACTGAATTTGTGTAAAATAAGATCAACACCTAACACATTGTATTTAAGTCGACAAGACAAAAAACAAGGACATTTGTTTACCTCCTTAATTCAAACAGGATGAATAAGTCAGAATCTTACGTATTCACACTCGGACTTGGTTTATTGTTTGCATCGTGCTCTCATAATGGTGTTTTTAGACCGTTTATTAAAGGGATGCACTCTAGTCTGCACACTAGGATTGCAGTCCTGTAGATCTAATTAAATTGCCTTCCTATTGTGGAATAACAAGCCATAAAAATACTATCCTGACCCATTTTTCTTGTTATTTTGCGCCTGGTCGCGGGGAGCAGAACTTTCACATTCGTGCAGATTCCAACGCCGCAGCGAACACCACAGGGAGGGAACAGCGAGCGTAAACCGACCTCCCCGCCCGCCCCTATCGAACGGCGAACGAACCCACGGACCCGGCACGCCAGTCGCTCTGCTAGGCTGGGTTACTACCAAGGATTTTTCTTTCTTTCCTCAGACTCCCGTAACCTGAAACTTTTTTTTTCTTCTCATCTGAAACGGGTGTATGATAGGTTGCGACAGGTGTACCCAGGGTGGGGGTACATCACTGTTAAAGGCATATGATCGGTTGTAGATCGGCCTTTTTAAACATTTTGTATGTCGTGTATTTTGCTTTCCATTGAGCTGTCATCGTGTTGTGTCAGCGAGACTTCTTGTCATTTTCATGGTTACTCGGCGATGGCCCATCGACAGCTGGAGCCAGCTGTTCGGGGAAATATTTTTCTCCATTCGCGTCCTCGTCCAGAACTCCTCCTTAACAATAACTGCCCGGGATGGAAGGGGAAAAATCATCCTACTCTCTGAACTCACGAAAACAGTTTCACTCTTGAAGTTTTCACTGGGGAATTGTTTTTTGTCTGAAGATGGTAACAGGAAGCTGTGTCTCTATACAACAAACGTTAGTTTTGTCCATTGACTTTTGGAAGCCATTTATTTTGGGTTTGACGGGAATGGTACGGTAAAAAAGCCGTCTGCTCATGTCTCACAGCGTAACGTGGTAGTCTTTCTCTCTTAAGTGAAAGTTAAGCAATCAAACCAAAGCTTGTAATTAGACATGGCTATAGTTCTGCTTGTCAAATAGTTTGTTTTGACTTGGTTGTTAGCCATTTCTACTTCAGCTGCCGTGTCATTTTGTTGAAGAAAGAAACCTACGGGATGTTAGCTGGTTGATGGCTTAATAATTTTGGCTACTGAAAAGGACTTGCAATTTTTCGTGCATGTAATATAACTAAGAGTTATTGATTTTTTTTTGGCCAAAGTAGACTCATTTTGGCCGATCAGGTGACAGTTAATGGATTCACGGTATGCAGTTTCCACGATTGACATTATCACTGGTAAGTTCAGGACTGGGAGGAGATTGTGAAAACCCTGTAATTAGCTAACTACCCGCGTCGGACCCTGAGAGCAGAGGTTGAGGGTTCGAGCGTTATAGAGTTCTGCTTACTGTGATGTGTTTATGCTCATGACAGACAACAGTCGTGAAGTAGCCTATATGGCCCGCAATGCAATGTGCCATTGTATATCACGCGGAGGGAAAATGTTCAACTTTGAGTGAGAATTCTGCATGATGGAAAATCTTTGTGGCAGTAAGCGAACCACTCGTCCTTAAGGTTTTCGATGCGTGACGTGCATGCGGCGTGCACGAAGTTGTTCAGCTGTTCATGTTAAGTCGGTGGAAACAGTGCTACGCAGCTGCCAAACGACTGAGGGCGCTGTGTTACTGAAGCAGTGGAAATTTAGGCGGAGTTCGGGCGGCTTGTTCTCGTATGTTCACGAACAGCTCGATATGTTATTCGTGGGTGGGCCGCTCGAACGCCACGAGCGTGAAACTGGTTATCGCTGCTAGTAGTACTACAAGAAAAATGGCGGCGTCCGTTACGGTTTTGGAGGGTTAATGCTTGGGTAACTGGCCTGATTTCTTTTCTATTTAAAAATGAACATCCATTTCTGTGTCGTGGAAAATTAATTTTGTTGATTTTGCACAACTCCCCATTGTCTCCAGCATGTAAGCCATCTTGCTATTTCTTGCAGCTGTTTAAAAATCAAAATCTCCCGGGTTTTTCAGTGTGATCCTGTAAAACCCTGACGAGGAGGTGGTGTGTAATCCTGTTTCAGGAACAGCGTTCCTGGGTCGTGTTCCAGCCGTTCGAACGCGAGAACAAGAAACCTGTGCGGCTGTGTGGAACCGGGAAATTAGCAATGGGCTGACAGGGGGCGCTATTTAATTTTGACGCCTCATGATCAAAGGGCAAAAGGTCTGTGACAACAGCATAAAAGACATGTTGGGGACAGTATTGATGCACTGTTACGTAACTGTAACTTATACAGAAAATACTTGTGCCAGTTTCACCAGTCTTTAAGACGTTATACCGGTTGGTTTTGTCTCTGCAACTTACAGTATTGTGATCACTGTCTTGACATACTTTTCAGTATTATTATTCTCAATATCTCTTTAGGTTTCGCTTTTGTCTATATAACGAAATCATTGCACATAAGTTTTAAACAACAAAACAAGTTGCTTTCTGCTTATTGCGATTCCATGTCATGTCCTGAATTTAGCTATATCTGACTGTAATAACTTTGCTTTTAAACCAAAGTGATATATTGATTTTTTTCCTGAAGGGCGTTATCTTTTGGTTTGTTTGTTTACTCCGGTAAGCTTTCAAACTAGGTACTGTGTTATTAGATGTATAAATGGTTGGTTGTTTCGTGTGTTGTCCTCAGGTTTGGTTCCAGAATCGGCGCGCCAAATGGAGAAAAAGGGAGCGCTTTCAACAGCTTCAGGGCATGCGCGGAATTGGGCCCGGCGGCGGCTACGAAATGCCCATTGCCCCTCGGCCCGACGCCTACTCACAGGTGAGTCCCCCCGGGTTCCACGTGGGCGACATCACTCAGCCACCAGCGCCCGTAGAGGGCGCAATGCTCCGCATTTGCAGAAACCTGCAAAACCTGCGGCGGGAATTTGACACGCGCAAGTTGGCCTCCGGGCAGGCGGGAGAGGGCGCTGTTGATAGCCAGTCTCCAATGGTAACTAGTTAGTTTCGACTTTTCTCTTCTTCAATAACGCATCGTCGGACTTTTGAGCCCGCCTACTTGCCTGCAGGCATTTGATCAAGCATTTTCTTTCCTTTTTTATTTGAGTTCAAGAGAATTTTTTTTCTTTCTTTAGTTGATTTTGGTTAAAAGTTTTATATGTAGATAAATAGAGTGTTTTAAATACATGTACTAAGAAATCTCTCAAGTATAAGCAAAGCATTTTTCAAGTCACTATTCATGCTACGAATCTCCAAAATCTGTCTGACAAAATATAGAACACTTTGGGGTGTGTTGATTCGCCGAAATTAGGTTACATCTCACTAAGTAAACTACTGAAAACAAACACCTGAAAAAAAATCATTTTTGTGAGTGCGATTGATGTGTAAAAAGTAAATTCACACACCTTAATTTTATCTTCCTCTGTTTCTCGTTCAAAGCATGCAGATTATGGACTAATGGGACAGTGGGTTCGGAATTTTCATTGTGAAAAGGTACGAGAAGCAAAGTTCTTTCAGTACAGATCCTACCTGCCACCCATCCATTGGAAGTTTCTCACTGTGTGTGTGGCGAAGGCCTTTTTTTCTACGCTATATCTCGAGATCAAACACACCTGAAAGCGAAATGTATTTCGATTTCACGCCGTGTATTTCATTTATGCAAATGCCCCCAAACAAATATTTGCACCAACTGATCACGAACATTGCATGGCGGTGTTGAGAGTTTGGCAGTTTGAAAATTTGGCTCATAAACATGTGAAGTTTCCGTTCATCACAGGGTTGCAATTGCATGGCACTTTGCATGATTGTTTAATCTTAATCGCTGTTTTAATTTTCCTTTCAGTTGATTTTTACTGTGACGATTTATTGCCATATCAAAGAACGAGAACTAAACCGATTTTGTTTGCATTTTCTCGCATGTTCTGAGAGAGTTGGCATATTTTCCCACAGGGTTTCCCACAGGTGATTGTATACAAAGATGGTGTGACTTCTGTCAGATTATTCATAAGTATTGTCCAAATTATTGAGGAAACGTTTATAAGAGATGCATTAACTTCTCGACTTTTAGCGAAAGGAAATGTTAAAAAGTGCAAAGACCACTCTTGACCAACAGTAAAGATTTAACTACTAGGCCTTAATTGGGTCATTCCGGGCTTCTGATGTGATGCAGGATACTTTCGTGAAAGACAAAGCGTCCTTATCTCCTCTGAAAGTAAACTTTGGCGGGTATTAGAGAAGAAGTTTCCTTAAATGACCAAGGGTTTTTCCGAGATCAGAGGACAGAGGTCACAGCATCTTTTCAAATACTGACGGCAGATGGTACGTCATGGCATGAAAAGCCCAAAATGTGCTCTTAGGCTATTAAATAATTGGACAGTCTTTATCACAAAAAGACTTAACTGATCTTTAATCTTTACTGATGACATACTGCTTTTTGCCTCGTGGTCACCGGGGAAGCTGAAATGCATGTTTCAGGGTCGCCACGATGTGTGGATAAATCACAAATCTTAAAGTAGTCACATCACTTTCGAGATTTTCAAGAATTTTATGACAATAACGCATACACTTGAGTACTGTGTTTGTGTGTGTGATAAATCGTCATTGGATATCCGAGGCTCTAATGAAAGTCATTTGGAAGATGAAGACCTATATATATGGAAAGTATAGAGAAATGCGATGAGTTAAATCCCACGTATATTTTCAAGTGAGTCATCATATTAAAGCATTTCATTAAAAATGGTTAAAATGACGTGCACACGTCATCGAAAAGTGTTGAATTTTTGTTACCAAACTGACAAGAAAAACCTACTTAAAGCTTGGGATTGACACTCACATTTCCTTTATTTGGAGGTCATTGGAGCGAATGATAAACCCAATTTAAACTTCAAACCTTGAAGCATGCACTCAGTTTAATTAAGGCGTCCGTCCAGAGACCTCCACGTCGAAATTGCACCGGAACATTTATGGACTAATCCAGAGATCCAGATTCGAAGCCATTCCTGAGGTGGCGGCGCGAGATTCCATGAGTTTTTGCCGTATATGGCGGGCGTCCAATTTTGATAACCCATCGACCAAAGGACGTACACACAAGCAGGTTACGATCTCAGCATCTACCTCACGAGTACACGCATCAGCAGAACATAACCACTGTTATTTCCGGTTCCCATGGTACAGTTAAAATGTGTGGGTAGAAGCACCCCGTGTTTAGTGGGTGTGGTTTAATTTGGAGTAACGCATACTTGCGACCCCAACAGGCTAAGCACGTGATGAAGAATTATAGGGTCAGAGATTGTACCTCACGAGTTCTCACGTAGATCCTCAGCCTCTCCATTTGCTACCGATGAGGGGGATACTTGAGCACGGAGCGAGTGACTTCTTATTAGGTTGCTGGATTAGTCTATGACTGCCTATTCGGTATTTCAGCTGCACGTGTGCACATCATAATATGAATATTTGTTCACTTCGACAGTAGCAATCTTTCTTATGCTAGCAACACTCGGAGAGTGCGAAAGAAATTAAGTCTTGCCGTTCCATCAGTACGAGATTGTCACTGAAACAACTGCGCCATGTTTTGTGATAGATTCTATCGTATGAGCGCACTACTTTCCATTCTTTGTTTTGATTGCATTTAGTATAAAAAGATACAGCTCAGGGTTAAGTTGCGTTTTCAAATAACACGTTCATGTCATTCTCTAGAATTCCTTGGGAAAATCTTCATATTATGGCTTGAGCACGCGCAGTTGGAATATGAAGCCTGATTTATTTTGAAGCTTGTGTATAAACGAATCCGGTTACCATAGCAAAGTTGCCACTGGCCATTTTCAGTGGCCCCCGCCAATGGCGCTAAAGCATTGTGATAATTATACGGAGTCACTGTTCCGTGACAATCTCGCCGTACAAAACCCAGCGCAACGCTTTTGCCATTGAAGGAATGTGATAAACACAAACTTTACAAATGTAATGTTATGATAAATTTTGTATTCCTTTTGACCTTTCCAGATGCAGGCGTCTCCATGGGGACACAACATGTCTTCACCTCTGACATCAACCATGAATCCCGCGCCTATGCAGATGCAGCAGTCCCCCCACAACTCGTGTATGGCACCCCAGTCCAACCTTCCCAGTTTTATGGGCGTTACTAACCAGAACCAACTCAATCAGCTTAACCAACTGAGCCAGGCAACCAGTCCCATCGCGGCTGGCAACAATGCGGCAGCACAGTTCATGTCACATGCTGCAGCTGCGCAGAACATGAATACATATAACGGACAGTACACGGACACTGGAGCAATGCATTGTGGGCAAGATGGCGGCGACAGAAGAACAAGCAGTATAGCTGCACTGAGATTGAGAGCAAAGGAACATAGCAGTGTCGTCGGTATGATGAATGGGTATTCCTAGAATTTAGAATTAATAAAAACTCGACTGCTCGAGGTGATTTTCATGAACTTCTCGCGTGTGGCGTCAAGGCTGCAGATGCTGCTGACTACGAATTCTTCCATGCCTAGTACTGGACGTCATTTTAATCACAGTGAGATTTTGACAAGCAACAGGCAACATTTGGTGGCAGATGTGGGACGCGGTGGCGAACGCGAGCCGAACACTGTTGTCCTCACTGTACAGTACCTTTCGGCCGCTGGGAGAAGTCACTGTGGAGAATTCCAATTTTCAATTTGCGGTCAAATATCGTAGAAATGTTCTGAGCGTATCCGCCCTTCATTGTCTTGCACATATCGATTAGGGGTCGAAACCACACGACTGTCTGGTGCCTCGACACCGTGTTCATGCATTGAAACTTGCTACTTAACAAACTGTTTGGAAACCCACAATATGAGAGTTATTTGTATCAACCTTACGTACAAACAAAAAAAAACAAAGCACATTCGACTGATATAATTTGCTATACTTTGTGCCGATTCTCGATGGTAATAATTATTGGAATAATGGTAGGACATGCTCTCAAAGCTCCGACTTCACCCTCACAAGCAAGGAGCTGTAATATTTACGGTATAAGATGGAGAGTATTTATAGCTAAATGTTTCTGTTATCGTGCATTTTTGGTTCTGGTTGTATTTCTTAACATTAATTATTTTGCTGACCTGTTGTACATTATTTTGTCATTGGACCAGTTTAATAGATTATTACACATCTTGTTTATAGATTGAGATTTAATGCTATTGTAATATCTTATTGTGACGTAGTACATTTGTATAAGGGTAAAATCTTTGGGCCAATATGAGGTAAAGGGGGAAAATTTGTATGAGAAACAAATGGAAATTTGAAATAGTAAGGCAAAGGTTTGTATTTTACCATGAGTGTTTCTGCTTGTTCGAAAAGATTTCTTATTTTTGTTTCTTATTCATGTCAACTATACATGTACAGGTTACATTACCACGTATGTCATGTTTCGATACTAGTGCAGGTGATGAAACGTACGAATTCAACCAGCTATGTGCTTGCCAATCATTTAAAAATACTACATGTGTATGCATAGGAAAGCGGTGGCCGAATTATCCCGGTTTACAGTGAACGATTTTAATAGAAGTCTTTGAAGGTTACATTATTCGTTCACCTGACAAACCAGGCAGTGGTTAGGGTTTGAGCTCGCCATTTTGAAAAAATATCGGAATCGAAATTTGTATGGCATTCCATTACTTTGCAAGTTTTGTACAAAATCCTTTTCTTACGAAGTGAATGCATTAATATCACACACACACTAGTTGTAACATTCGTGATAATGGATGTACAGCCACATAAAATCATAATACAACGTGATACGTCTGAGTCCCTGACTTGATAGTTTAACATGCGAGGAAGGATCGTCAGATTTTATTATTCACTTTGTGAATTGAGTTTTATGTACTTCACTTGCTCTCTTGCCCATGCTAACAAAACACTGTCGAATGATTTCAAACAAACCAAATCTGAGAAACTTAGCAATTTCGATATTGGCGTCTTTATTACACATGACAACAAGTGTATAGTTCGTAATGTTAAAAGCTGTTTTTAAATTTTCTTGCGTAGACAGGGGACTTTTGTAGAATTTATAGTTTTAGAATAAATCCTCACACACAGAAACTGAGGATTAATGGAACAGCATTACGTATTTCAGGGATATTTTTGCAGTTAAAAAGACTGTATTTTTTTGTAAATAATAGCTTGAATAATTATGACGTAATATCAATAATACTGGACTGCATCTGAAACTAAATATGGCCGCATCGTGCATGTACATTAGAACTAATAACACAAGTCCATGTTTTAAAGTGCAAACATTGATCTTTGGTAATTGCGGATTGGCTGTCCAGAAATCATGTCACTTTTTTGAGTGAAATTCGTTGTCAAGAGAGGTCATTTGCCAGATGTTGTAGATGACTTGTACATTTTCTGTTGACTGTTGCCATGGGTTCTCTGACAGCCGGAGCGTGGTCATTATTCACAGAATAATAACACCCTAAAGGCGCTATCATTACACACTGTGCACCTTGTGCACAGGAGCAGAAACTAAATGTAGTTTCAATCGTCAGTCGTTCGCGTCAGTAGCACAAATGCACCCTCGTTATTCTCTGATATTCTTGGCACAGTGAACAAGGGTCTTATTCCTTCGCAAAGAATGACAAAGGTCACTGTGCAAAAACTACAGGGCAAGCAAAATAACTGAAACGTGAATCTTTATTCTGATATAAGCAAGACTTGAACTGTCTGACATCAGTTTTGTTTTCCAAACAAACGCTGCAGGAAACCTTTTTATACGCATAAGGTTGGGACTAAACGCATCTGGTCACATGTACATATCGGCGAATAATATCAATAAAGCAGCAATGCTAACCATCCGGATGATATGGCTTAATTATATTAGGAAAGAACTGAAAACCTCCAAGGCTAGTTTGAAACGAAGAGTTCATTTTAACGATAAGTTCGCCCGGGGAATAATGATATGAAGAAATGTAGTAGATGTAATGGTCAGGGCGAGTGTGTACAACATTTGAGACTTTTTTGTACATATACCAAATTGTGGAGACAAGACAATAAAACAGTACTCCCCGACCTGGACAAGCCCAGTCACGTGTTCTTCATTCGAATAATTCGAAATATCCAATACGGATACCACTACGTGATGTATTATATTTTGAACTACTTTTCTGGATATCCAAAACTTCTGGATTCTTTTGTTCGTATGCGATTTCCTTTAGCTCAAAACAATCGCGGTTCAATAACTTTTTTTAAGATGTGTGCCCACCATGGTCATCATGCCTGTAAATGCTTTCGTTTGCCGGTATTAGTGCGTTTAGTGTCTGTTTAATAGACGCTTGCTTGCAGACAATTCTCGGCGGAGTAGAATCATTAACAGAATCATTAATGGGTGATACTCAGACTATATATAGTACATTTGAACCACCCATAAACGCACGACTAGATGGAGCATTTGATACTATTTACAGCACCTGTGATTTTTATTTTGTAACACAATTCCAGAAAATTAAATTTCACAACTTCAAAAACTAGCACCGATTATTTTCAAAACTGCTAGAATAACGGTTCTGTTTTCTAAAGCATCGTGCGTGTGCGGCTTGTGCAGCCTTTATATTCGAGGGGTTATGAATGTTCATTCTTGGTTACCTTCGTCATGAGTTGGGGCCATTGCAGCAATAGGCGCCGTATTCGTTGCACGGGCACTCATTGTTCCCCTATTTCACGAGTCGATTTGATCACAAGCAAACTGGTCTCTGCAAATATTGTCTATAAACTTCAGTGGTGTACAAACTCAATGGAAGGAGATACAATAAGGCAAATTACAGATCAGCTTCATGGTGCTCCAATGAATGAGTACAAATTAAAGCAAGGGCGGAGCCAGGAATACTTCCCGGGGATTCAAGCCCCCACAATTTTTTGGCATGATTTCCTAAGCCCCTAAGATTTTTGTACGCATGATTTTTGCGGACGGGGAAGAGATGCATTATATTGTTACTGATGTACAATACATATAACAATCCTTACAGGTTGTCATCCTTTCTATATTTATTATTATTTCATTTATTTGTAGTTATTTTAATAGTGTTTTTATTCTTTTTTTCAGCGAAGGGGGACGTGACCTCCAAACCTCTCCGGATCCGTACGTGTAGGGATAAAAAAAATCAAAATCAAAGTCTCGATGAAAAATATTTTTAAAAGCAAGACGAATCATGCCATTATCATTATTAGGCAAGCTTTTTGAGGCAAAAGCTTTATGATACACAATATTACAAGTCGCTGTAGAATGCAGTGGCGCAAATCTGTGCCGGGAACCATGGGGAATGGGGGATGGCTTACACGCAAACTTTACAGCCGTGGAAATTCGAAAGGGGGGGGGTCTGGACACCACGCGAAACACATGCACATCTTATGTGTACCTACACCCATCAATCTTATATCGAAACGGCATATATAAAGCTGTTGTACTTGTTCTCACTTTTTTCAGTATTGGGTTGTTGGGACTTTGGAAAAATAACTCAAAATCAACCTTTTTACTCACGATGGAAAAGCAGGGGATGATCAAATTACTCACTTGCCCAGTCCAAAAAGTGTGTGGGGATATATACCGCATCGCCCGGGATAGCTTCACTGTCTCTCTTTATGCGTTTGGGAATAATTCCTCAATACCGTGTTCTTCCTTTCCTATTTTTCTGATCTGTACGACACTCTGTCTATCGGTTAAAATACTTAAGTAGGACGTCATTAAATTCCTAATTGTACAAAGTTTGTGCTCAATATTATTTATTCTTGTAGTGAAAATATTCACAAACCACAATGCTTTATAGGCTCAGCTGCCGGATGGCTTATAATTTCTTCTAGCTCCAAGTGTTCTTACAGGTTTACAACTGACAAGAAACAAATTGGTAACGTGCATTGATATACCCTCTTACAGTTTGTAACGTTGTTTCAAAGCTTTTGTGAGGAATAGTTAGGGGTCAGTAGCACCCTCGAGCAGGGAGGAAACTATGAGCGGGAAAGTGGCTCATTTGCCGCCACCAAGAGTCGAGAATAGGCCGTGGTGTTTACAGGTAAACGTTGTAGCTCTTCCCCACTGATCTCTATACACTGGATAGGCAGCTCTGCTCTGCGACTTGAAGTGAATGCGAGGCCTTCTTAGGCTATTCAATGCAATGGCAGTTTCCGACTCACTGGCTTTAGCGCCGTGCATGGATGCACCTAATGAATGGACTGAAGTTGGAGAGCATAAGATGGTCGCGCGGTCACTTCAATTCACACATAGGCAGTTACTGCCGAGCTGCCTATCAAGTGTATAGAGATCACTGCTCTTCCCCTACGGCCCTAGGAAAGGAAAATACTTGACGTACTTATTTTGTCATGGAAAGAGTTCATGCGAACAATACCACTGGTCAACACTTCCGCGAGCATTATGAAACTAGCCCCCAGAATGCATATGTGTGGATATACAAGGACAGCGAGCAACCATAGCTCTGCGCACAAAATAACTGTGACAGGCATTCCGGATTGAGGGCGCCTTTGCAAAAAGCTGTTTTCCACAAAGTGCAGATGGTGCGGTGTAATGACTGCCACACGATTCGAGGGTATTCCCTCGTCAAAGACAAAAACTAACTGCCAAATTCAGGATTAAGAAAACACAATCTGTTCATCTGGTCAGTATAAACTAAGGGTAAGTCATCCAGGTCGGCTTTTACACTTCAAATGCTTCACATGATTACTCCTTGCCTTTTCAAAATTCCCTGTTACAATTAACCACCACTAATGTAGGTCCTTCTGGACCGACTAGTTGAACGGGAGCCTTTCTTCTCACCTTCAAATGACACTGTAACGTTGAATTTGAGAATTAATGAGACACGTATCTTAATGTTCAAAGCTCGTTCCGGCCACAGATTACTCCTCTGTTTTCTGAATATGTAGAGGGGGTGCTAGATATGATGCACCCCCTCTGGCGGTCTCTACTCTAAAATATATTCAAGGGCGCCGTACAACTCCAAGAGCGTGCCCTACTTCGTGTTGACCTTTCGTTTGTTTACCAACACTGACCACCATACTGTAAAGGGAAGCTAACGTTTTCGTGAAAGTTTCATCGGTGGTTGGCGACAGCTTTTGCCACAACTTGCGCGTAGTATAAAGTGATAATATTTGTTTTTTTAACAAGCCTGGCAGACTTTTCAACACTTTGTGAATTACCCTTTGAGCTATGTGCTCACAGCTGTTATAGTTTGCCAATCTGGCAAAAAGTGCAGTTGCGATGTATCAGATGAAGGGTCTAGTGTCATCCCTCAGTGCATTATGTGTACTTGAAAACATGTAGTCAAATCGGGATGAGATCAACTGACAACAAATGAATTGAAAAAAGCCTGTCTATATTTCTGCCTACGTGTTTAAGTTCGATCAGCTAAACGCAGTGTAAGATGGCTATGGATGTGTTGCCGATGATGAACTTGGCTAACCACGCTTCACAATGTCGATGACTGCGAGCGAACAAGTCTGGTGTCGCCAAAGACTTCATCGTGGGTTAGGAGCTGCTTGGCATCGCCCGACAGGCCGTCTAGATACAGAACACGGGAAGAGACGTCTAAAATGCACTGGTCGGAGAAAACAAAGAAAATAAAACATTTCTGTTGTGAAAGATATGAAGCGACCAATGGGTGGACAAACAGAACTAGTAAAAAAAGGGATCTCCCAATAGAAATATACATATCGATGGCGTGTGCCGCTGCCCACTGTAGTTATGCAACTTGAAAATAACAATTTTGTGTCACAAAAATACTTATATTTTACATGTACAGCAAAAAAAGTGTTTTACAAAGAATGTCAAATTGCAATGACATTAAGATAGCGTTAACTTTTAAGTTTTAGAGTAAAAAACATAAATTAAAGACCCTGTGATTAACCTACCTTAAGTCGATGTAAGATATCCATCCCGATTGTTAAAAGCACGGCGGTATTATCTACGATAGATTTTTTAAAAATGGAAATGGTTTCGTCAGCATAAGATTTCGATAAAGGAGTCTAACTTTTATCAGGGTCTTTGCCTGAAAGTGCGTTGGTATGCTAACTTAATAATATTTATTTGGGCATAATTCTTCATACAAAGTATTATGATTTTTTGTCCTTAGTACGACTTTGCAGGTGTGCAACTAGATCTATATACTGCAGATTTAGACCATAATGACGTCCCACTTTGTTCACAAGTGCGCTTTCCTATGGAACCTCGATGCCTTGTGGTCCCACCTCACTGCTATAGGATGTTATGAGTGTTTTTACCAGGCACGATGGTAAGGTGACATTCCAATGGCGCCCTTCCAAGTCGAAGCTGAGTACTAACTCTGCAATCATCTGTCTGTATCTCCATGCTCTTGTGCGTGGCTCCGTTGGTAGGTTTAATGATCTCCTTGCCGTCTACGCCAATTAACCTGTGGAGGAAGACAGCAAGTTAGTTTGGAGGGATCTCATCATACAATGTCAGGGAGACACTACTAGGAGAACACATCATTAAAAGTGATAACTAATTGAAAGATAAGACATCACTGCTTCGTTCAGGGAAATGGTTTTGGCACTACGCAATAAGCTATTATCCTCTTTCAAACGAATCTGATTGAACAAAAGTTTGTTTTGGTTTTGCTTAGTTTTGTTTTTGTTAATGACCAATAAACAGAAAACATAAGAGTCTGTACTTATAAAAAGGGCTCCCGCAATTTATTTTATTATGCACATACATTTGTGTTCAATTAAACCTTACTTTGACCATGCTTTGACTTTTCATTTTAAGTTTTGCATATAGCGGAGTAGTGTTCAGAGACGAATGTGTGCGGGTATGGGAGCAATCTTTTTAAAAGGAAAAGTTCTGGCTCTTTTAAGAGCCCTTTTTTGTTTTGCCTGTTTGAGGGCATTTGACGCCATTCGAGTTTCGAAGACACTCAAATATCTGCATAGTTTTAAGTATAAGGGTGACATAGTTTGCTAGAACTTGTGTATTTTTGTTAATTTTTTCGGTACATTTTAGGGCCTATATGTCAGTGAGCAACGTTTTTTCATGAGTAAGTTCAGCAGAAAGATTTTGAGTTTACACTTCGAAAAAAGTCTTAAATGGATAATGTTTTTGGCATAGAAAAGAGATTACATCAAAGCCAAAACACGTTCCTTTGCCAGAAAGAACATGAAAGTTTATATTTATCTACTTATGTCATCTTTAATGGGGGGAAGCTCAGCACTGCTTTCCACAGAGGCCCTCAAATTAGACACGCGAGTCGAAAGCATACAGGAGTGCAATGTTCAGCAGGATTAACTTAGGAATTTCTCAATATTTCCCATACATCTTTGAATTTACACGGCATGATGTATACCCCTACAAGCCTTAGCTTTTTCAGTCAGGAGATGGGATGGGATGGGTTAGAACAAGAGGGGGGGGGACATTCCCTGGTAGAATTATGTCATGGGCTTTTTGATTTTACATATGTACATGACTGAGTTAGACGTGCTTCTAGATCACATTGTTTTTTTTACTGGAGAAATGCACCTATGAGGAACGATTCAAAATACATTGCGTCACCAAGAGATTAATTCCAGGGAGAGACCATTCGCCAGGTTTACGGTTAACAAATTAATACATGGCCGCCTTGCCTCAATTTTGCATTTGAACGTGTGTCAGTGGACAACTTGGGGAATTTGGGGAAGTATTGGGAAACTACCATGCATGCAACACAGAGAAGAAAGGATGAATTAAAATAAGCTATTGGATCTTCAAATAATTCCAATTCCCTGCGCTCAGCTGACAAATGGTGTTTGTCGATCATTTCCCACAATGCAGTGCAAAAATGGCCTTTTCGTGTTAATCTCTTAGTGACGTACTGTATTGTGAATCACCAGTATTACCCATATGCCTGTGCGATACCACGTGGTATGGTTGAATCCATCTGTCCTGTGTCTATGAGAGCAACTGCTTCGTCTCCATTCAACTGTACATTATAGAAAACGAAACTGACGGTGACAGTGACGATACAAAAAGAAACAAGCGAATACGTTGCTATCAAACCCTTTTCCATGACCAATACGTCTTTCAAAATAATAAGGTGACATGGTCAGAATAAGATTCCGTACCGTGACTGAATTTCAACAGCTTCTGACAATAGGCTTGAGTAAGCCTGCAGTTACAGGTGCGGATCCGGGGTGGGAGTCAACCTCCACCCCACTCTATGTCATTTTGTGTCTATTTATATGGGCCTGCGTTTAAAGAATGGATGACCCCTAAAAAGTACAAACCATATAGGGGTCTTATTTTGTGTGTACGGTTAAAGACAAAACAAAGAAACTAGATGGCTTCACAAACGGCGACAACTAGATGTAGTGCCCCCTCGAACATTTTCCCGGACCCTCCCAGCAAAAAGACCCCCCCCCCAAAAAACAAAAATATGGAATCGCCTCTGACTTATAATGCCAGGGGACGTTCCTCCGGAATATTTTCTTTTGCTTTTTTTGGGGGGGAGGGGTCAAAGTGATGAGGACTAATAGGACAGAGAAAAGTAGGTGTGGGGGTTGGTTACACAAAATTTTAACATACATGTATTTGTTTTTGAAAAGCTCCATGCTTATTTGGTCTCTCGGGGGGGTGTCAGCTTCTTTTTTTATCTTGTGCAGCTAACAAGTTTCATATAGCTGCAAAGCACCTATTTATCACGCATGTAAATATTAGACAAAAATTCCTTCTTTTAACGCATGTGACGTATGTTTTTTTATGGATAGAATACTGGCAGTCTCTTCGGCGAATCCAGAGGATCGAGTCATATCGGCTGCATGAGTTACTAGTTCAATGAACCATGGACATTATCAAGAAATCGACTACATGTACAGTATACATGTACAGTATGTCGCCAAATTTCCCCATAGGTCACCCACCTGACACTGAGCATACAGCAGGCTAGCCGCGACTTGCTCTGTCCGCTCCAGTGCTGCCATTCTCTTCTTATCATCAACGTCCGTGAACGACTTCCGTCTCACCTGCGGCGGCGCAGGAAGGTCTAGTTTCTGCACTAGTTTCTTTTTCAGAATGGCTGCCGGTTGCTGTTAAAGGGTGGGGACGAACACAACATGAGGAAAGTCCCCACGTACGCGGACGTCATTTTAGGGTGTACTGTGAGAATTGTAAGAGTGGACCTCTTCAGAGGACTAAAAATAGCTCCAACCTGTAACACAGGGGACACGTGAGCCTTAAGCTCCAGTTTAAGTTTTGTAAAGCCATGGAACGGGTCAAACTCAACATCTTGCGACCATACAATGGGAGATGTTATTGAAACTTGAAAACATTCATGTCTCCTACAATATGTGGGACAAACTTGGGAACATTCATGTATCCTACAATATGTGGGACAAATGACCTTTTAGGGTTAAGTCAATACCCTAAATACGCTTTTTTGTATTCAGCCTCCGAATCTGTCTATTTTGACAACTTCCAAAGTGTTGCCTTATCATATTTAGCCTGTTATTTTGAATCAGTCAGTTTTCAGCCAGGTGGCCGATTGATTGGTCCGGCAGAGCTCCTGACACCATTTCGACAACCACTTTTATAACCTTGCAGCATTTCCCCCAGACGGCGGTGACGCTATTAGGCCTGTATACGATAATAAAGACACAGCTGGCTGCATGTAGTGTTAAGAACTGCTATATGGATGAAGTAGATGGTGACTACAGTGCAAGTGGAACGACAGTGACGGCCGTGATGGTAGAAATGACATTGAGGAAGATTTGACGTCACTTCAAACAGTAGTAAGGATCATAATTCATATGGACCGATTGCGCCCAGTTCGTCAAGTGGGTAATTAAACACCATCAAACATGGCGTCCTCCCATGGTAAAGTGTGTCATAAGTGTCATTTACCAAATTAGCTTACGGTCGGTAAAGTACTCAGACAACTGATGTACTGAGTACTATACCGAAAAATGGCTTTTATATTTGGTAAACAACACTTAAAACACACATTGCTACAGGAGGACGCCGTGTTTGTTGACGTTTGATAAATACTATAGGTCACGTGACTTAACAGGCTTAATCAGTCTTTTGGTTTCTTGTTTACGACGAAAACTGTCTGTCATAATGGTAGGCGTACTTCAAAACACTTTTCCAGATCTTTTCAGGAGCAACTGCCCTTAGGATGCCCCCTTAACTGTCCCGAGAGAAAGATAGCATCTTCTGTCACCGCGCCGCCAAGTGTTGTCTTTAATCTTCCGGAGCACACCAGAATCGTTCCGCCTGCATGTCCCAGCACCTTCTGTCGGAGCCCCTCCGTATTCAACAGCACACACTTGACACGAGTTGAGATTGGGAGGACGGGTGTGGGAAAATTCACGGTAACATTAGCTCACTGCTATCAACTTTATGATGCACGCAGCGCGCCTTTTATGCTAACTATCCCGATGGGGATAGACAGGAAGAAACCAAACCTGTCTAGCGCAGAAAATTAGATAGAATGTGATCCCCTGGGGTCTCTTAACTCTTGGTTGCACTTGGATAGTATTCAACCAAGTCAAAACCTTTCTCAACATGGTTTCCAGCTTTCTTTTCCCAATGATGTTTGTTTGTTTGTTTCTTTTCCCGTCTCATTCCACCTGTCCGTATCTAGTATCTGCAAGTAATATCTGCACTGACGAAAAGCGAATAAATCAAAATCAAATCGAATCGAACCAAGTCAAATCAATTTCAAACTACCAGTAACCGGATAAATATTCGTTATGCAGTTTGAGGCGAGTCTAAAATCAAAGTCGGAAGAGCGTGGGGAAACATCAACAGATAGATAAAGTGTAGGTTTTGTTTTGTTTGTCTTTGTTCGGGAAATCCCTGTGTCAAGAAAATCGAGTACGTAGTAGGGCTCTAATCGAGTCATTTGGAACTAAAAAAATTCCCTAGAATGAATTTTTGACAAACAAATGTCCCAAATCATCAGTAAAAAACGAGTCCCTCCACTGGGTGGTATTGTCGTTCTACATTATAGCATGTTAAATCGGTTTACTGAGTAGCATTTGACAAACCACATCATGCATCAAGTGTGGCGGTTATATCAAGGAAGTTTACAATACGGCATCTGTATTATATGCATTATGGAATATTAGCTAAGATATTTAGCTTGAACTTTGACCACATTACTCACTTTCAAACTGAAACCCACCACATTTCGACCAGGAGAAGTCGGGATCCTTGTTACACACACCGTTAAAACGCTACAGGTTTCATGCATATCCCGAAAGTTGTCTTAATTTCACCATGAATGCATCGGGGGCAAGCCAGTAACAAGAAACTGTTTAAAGACGCAATCTCTCCTCGCTGGGAAACAGCTACATACATTGCTCGAATCAGAGCTCTCCTTTGGTGGCCAATTTGATCGTTCTATCGATTTAGCAAGGTTGAAATTAACACCTTGGGCCTTATCAGTCAATTGCGTTTTGATACCACATATACAGCATCTGGTATGACATCAAAGATGAACGGAGAGCTACGGAATTATATATCTAGAGGGAGTTTTTTTTATTCTATTCCCCATTCTGCATCTTTACAGTGTTATGGGCACAAATTCCGGTCAGCTGATAAACGCGTCCATCCTCGCCTATAGGAGGCCTAGAATTGGTGTCTGATGGGCCTCGTTCCGCAAAAAAAAAGTATTGGCAAAATGAGAGAAAGACTGGTTGTATGATATCGGTGTATTATTCAGCAGCGCAGCTGAACAAATTAAGTCGTCCACAAGCTCAGGCCGTATACCTTCTCTCCCCAACAACACAAAGTCATGCAATTTCGGGATTGTTTATAATCGCAAACTTTCTAAACGGTCTGATGCTACCGTTTCAAGCAGAGCTAATAACCATTTCCAACAGCTTGGTAATTACGATCCTGCTGTTTTCCCTTTGCACCGATTACAGTTGTGCAGCGGAAACCATGGAAACACAGACGCAGCACAGGCGTAGACGAAAGAAGCGTCACATCAACAGGGCATTTTTATGGGCGGAAAAATAGGGAGGTAATTATTCGAGAAATCGCACGAGACTGCCAATTATAGGAAAGGGTCATAAGACATTTTGCATTTCGTGTTTTTTCCCAAATTGCTGTTATAAGACAACTACAAATTTGATATATGAATAATTTGTGTAAAACAGGACAATCTGAAATGTTGCATATTTGGCGATGCGATTAAATCCATGCAATTGTGCAGAAAAGGCCTTTGCCAATGCCACGGTCACTGTTTTTGTTGCTGTCTCATAGCAAAAGTTCTGTCAAAATGTCAATGTCACTATTCTTATAATTCAAAATTAACAAACATCACACAATAATAACTTTTAATAAATCAGAACATACATTAATACGAAGCACTCAGATTAAGCGATAGATTGGTCTTACCGCTTCTTTGCTTGTGCCTAGTCTCATTTCCAGCGGCAATAAATCTGTCGAACTCTTGGTGGTGAGCCGCGGGGGGATAACTCTCGGTCCCTTCAAGATAGGCCGATTGATCTCCGCCGCCATCTTGGATTTCCGGTTATCTAGGTGTTCATCGTAAACTCACAACATAGTTCTGTGGGGGTGGAGAAGGAATTCGTTATTCACAATGAATGCTCATGAGAATGATGAGGTTTTACCGTGCATGACTGGTCAAGCGTAATTCCTGTGATTACTGAGGGCGCACTAATGATGCTGGAAGCAAATTGATGGGCGGTTGACCTATCATGTAGTTGCTTCGTCATTTGCCGTCAAGTGGACCAGCACTCACAATATCGAAAGTCTAGCAGGCGTCTGTTCAAAGGACTGCATTGATCACGGAGTGGAATAAATCTTCTGATCTGCATGCTTCACAAAAGTGACCCGTGCAAATCACACGGCACAGGGTGAGGGGAAGTTATGCATGCGAGGCGTGTTTTACGTTCTCAGTTTGCGCATCTTAGTGTGTAAAGGTAAAGCATAAACGAATGAACTTCTTGCTGCATGTACTTGTTCCAACTGCGACGGACAAACATCGCCTGATCATCTCACGAATAACGGCCGATCTTATTGTATGCCAGTCGGCGGTGGCCATAAGGTTTCGCTGTCGCTGGATAATGCCGATATAAAACCCCTTTCAATGGTGACATGCATAATGATGACGACTGTATGCAGCAGGTTTCCGTGGCAGTTGTTCCAAACAAAATCTAACAGAGGCGACCATCGGAAATGTCCATTGGCAAAGTAGCCCATAATTCGCGATCTCGCGCTTTATACCGTAGCTCCTACACAATGTGGTAATTTAAACGCAAAGTGAAACCAAAATTTAACGTTTATCCCGAGTGGCTAACTGGGGATAGGTTTATGGCCTGAGTGTGATCACCATCGACTTAACAAAAACAGATCTAGTATTGTAGTGCATGTTTCATTACCACTGCGTCGAAAACACGATGTAAGGGTGGAGCGAGCGGAGAAGCAGATTGCAAGAAACTCTGTAGTTGTCTTCCTTAGCCTCCCCCCTCCCCCCGCCCCCTCCCCCCGCCCGCCTCCCCCCGCCCGCCTAGTGCATCTGACGCCAAAGATGCCTGCCCAAACAGCAACATCAAGCTGTTTGATACTCATAACGAAAATGCCAAACATAGGGATATTGATATCGTGGTAAATGTACTTTATACACTAATAAACACATGTATAGATTTCAATAGCGAATAACCCACAATCCTTTGCTCGACCATAGCTGTGACGTTTAGCCTTCACAAAAAAAACAATAATAATTGTGACACACTTTTACCATTCCGAGCGCCCCTTCGCGGGTGGGAAGCGAAAACGGTCCCTCTTCTATTGTGAGCGTCCCACATTCGCTTAATTAATAGCTGAAACGTTACTTCTGCTGGCACCATGCATCTCAAAAGATTATGATTGACATTCGCTTGTCTCAGCGCCCTGTAGGGAAAGGCATAACACGCAGGGTGTCAGCCATGTGCAGAAGCATCCCCTCATCGGTTGAAGAGAGCCATGTTGGTGGGGAATTTTTCACCAAGCGCAATATTGTAGGTAACAACGCGTGCGCGAGGAGTGCATTTCATAATCGTTCGCGAACCAGCGAAGTGCAGTTTCCAATAAAGGAGTCAACGTTGCTAGGATAACCGCGCCCTCTCTTGGTCCCGCTTGGGGCTGATTGATCTCCTAATCAGTGCATGATTCAGTGCACTCGTGTCATGCGCACGCGGATATGGTGACCCGTATTATAAATGAATTTCATGCAATGGAGGCTCGACAAAACTTAGGTCATGCATTTTCCTTCCCAGCGTCATGTAATTGCAATGCATGGGACACGCACAAACCATTCACATCAAGTACGGGATACAAATGAATAACTCGTTATTGCTGTATTGCACGGGCGGGAAAAGGTTGTATAACCAGGGGCAACTATTTTAACAAAGTGAAAATAAAGTAACCTGTGGGGGTGCAAGGTTGGGACCGGGTAGCCTTCATCGTCAAATATAAATACATGCAGAGGCAGAAAGCCTATCCTCCAAATGCAGACTTGAATCAGATCCTTTGATTGTCAGGACTTTATAAATCTGCTGTGCGATTTGTTTCAAACCACGGGTGTAAATCCCCTGGTGATGGGGGTATATACCCCCCTTTGAGGGGGGTGGGCTATTGAATCATCCCCCTACACACTTTTTTGTGATGAGCAAAAAATTAAAGTGGATTGTGAAGAATTTACAGGAATTCCCAACGACTAAAATGTTTACAATATCACTAAAAAGGGAAATCAATTTTAAAAAGTCATTCATATGCCATTCTGATGTAAGATTCTGCATGAATTTGATACACATTACAGCTGTACATCTTTATTATGAACATCGCATCGTGCATATGGTGTCCCCCCCACGCTTTTCGAATTTCCATGGCCGGGCAAGTCATCCCCCCAACTTTCCCCATCCCACATGCACCCCACCCCAACTTTCCAACAGAGATTTACGCCACTGTTTCAAACGCTAACACTTAATATATGGTAAGCAAATCTGTCGGTAAACACGCCAATTAGACGTGACCTGTACGGTGGATCGACTGTCATCGTGAAAGCGTACGGAAACTTCCAAAATGTTCGGCTCAGAATTGCCAGGTTTGATTGCTCGTAATTACTTACACCTGACCCTCGGTAGTTCGTAGCGTAAAGGGAAGAGAACCACATGCATAGTGGTTCTTTTCTGTTTTGTTTTTGTGGGGGAGGGGTTCGGTCAAAATGTAAACAAACCGAACAACACACAAATAAACTCCTCAGAAGAAGGTATTTTTATAAGTCATTTATTCTCGGTACGGGTTTACATCAATTTAATTCGAATTCGTGCTTTATCCAGTTCGCATGTGGTCTCCGACCGCTGATGAAATTTGCTAGAAACTCCGACGGACTACAGTGTACATTGTCAGGTTCATTCACGTAGCTGTGTGATTGGATTATTATAAATGATGTCCTTCTCAAAGTAAAGATGTTTCCATCTTAATGGAAAACAGCGTAGGAAAGATGTAAATACTTCTAACAGCAATGCATCATCTACCAGAGATCCGCAGAGAAGGAGAAGGCCTAATGCATCGTGGGAGAACTAAAGAGAAAAAAGCACTTTGCGATCTAGCTTTCGGTGTTTATGCGCCGAGAGATAAATGGGGATGTGGAGAAATGCATTAAGCTGTGTCTCGCACGCGCAAGCTTTAATATAAATGCCAGCGATTTCCAGTTAAAAAAAGTCCATTGGCGCAATCACTGCGGTGGTGTACTAACAGAAACTCAAAATTTATTTGAGAGGAAAACAAACGGTCGAAACAGACGAAGAAAGGGTAACATGTATCGAAACATTGGTAACTGAGAATTTCTATTTTACGCAAAGGATCCAGCTTTCACAGATGAAAAGTTGTAAAAAAAATTGCTCAGTGTTTTCTCAGAGTAAGATGTAAATGTTATCATTATGACCCGTGTTTGATATTTTCAAAATTCTTTGTTGTTAACGCGTACTAAAAATACATAGGACACATTTATATACAAACATAGCTCTTTGCCCAGTTCCGGTGTGTGAGACATCATATCCGAGCAAACTAACCTGTAGAACACTGAGTACATTACATATTGTTGGTAACGTGTGGCCATTTGGTTTCTTTTTATTTCCTCAATACAAATGTCAACACATTTTCACCTGAGAGGTGTATAATAATGTTTGAGCTGCAGAAAACCGATTGACAATTTTAATTACCAATATGAAACAAAAAAGAAAATGATATTTGCCTATACTCTTATGTCACCTTTTCTGTTACTGCGATTGCCGATTGGTGTGGGGTTTTCTGGAGGAATCGCGATTTGTGTGTCTGCTGCATTAGCGTAACTTCCATGAACCGAAATGAAAGTAAATGTACTTTGTTTCTTAAAAGCCCTAATCGAATTACCTGTGGCGTAACTAAAGGGGGGGGCCATAGACTCCAAGCTCGTGCCCATTATAGTGCCCTGCCGCTCAGATATTAAAACTGGTGAAACTCAGCTTTGCACAATACTGCGACTGAACCCATTGACTGCCTCCCTCCACACCACAAAACGAGGGTCTCCAAGTGCCCCCCCCGGCAAAATGTACCTCAATTACTCCACCGCGAATTACTCATACCGAAAGCGGAATGATGGCGAGAATAAATATGGCCCAAACGGGGACGGACAAAGAGAGACACATCATTGAAATAGTGCGACACACACCGGTGTAGTACAGTTTATAGAAATGCATAATAAACTGAATCATGTCCCTGTTTCAGTCTGCCTGACACTCATTCCAAGCTTCATTCATACGAGGGAAATACAGGAACTTCCTTAATTTAAGATTACTTTCGCAATTACTCGGTTTAGTTCTCGCGGTTAATGGTATGCAGAGATATAAACATGTTGTATAGCTGATCAATGCATAAGACAAGACCACTGCAGTATCAATAGAAACCAAAGATTACTCTATGTTGGCATGGAGATCCATGTGGTGTGAATTATAGACTGTTTTGGAGAACACTTAATTATACGCACGTTTTTACAAGGGATTTGTGTTTTACACAATTCTGTTTTGCGAGAAATGGTTTCCTTGAAGTATTTTTTTACAAGTTATATTTACAGAAAAATACGTTTTATTCTTGGAAAGGAATTGGTATTTAACAGATTCATCCATTTCGCCTTCATGAGACATTTTCAAAGTTCGTGCTATGATATACACAGATTTTGGTGTTCTAATTTAATTAGTTTAAATTTCTCAATTATCTCGTATTACATGCCTGCGAGATAATTTATCTGAGCAGCAAGGTACTTGAAAATTTCATGCAAATTATGTGATTTTCATAATAGAACCTGATACATGTAATATTGTATATGTGTATATACATATATTATCATCGTAATAATATTAATTGTTCCAAATTTAATATCTCTTTTCTGCTGTACCATTCTACAGCATATTGCCAGCACCCCACTTTTAGACTTCTTATCATTACTTGATTTGCGATTTCCGATATCTAAAGGTGATAGTAACAATTCATATAATGTTTACTAAGATATCAAGACTTTTTGTGTTG